CTTACAGCTTCCAATGCACCAAAGTGGCCAGCAGGAGGTGGCCGTGTGGTTAAGGGAGGGGGGCAAAACCAGCTCCTCACAGAACAGCAGAGTGAGGCCCCTGGTTGCCCAAGGTGACCCCGGGATCCCCTTCAGGGTTGTCTAGACAAGCCAGCTCCCATGGGGCGTCTTCACTCCACCCTGATGGGAGAGATCGGCCCCGAATTCAGTGGGGTGATGGGGTTGAGGGGACAATCCAGCCTTGGCAGTTTGCCCTTTCCCCAATAAAGCCAAGTCCCTAAACTACGTCAGGTGACATTGGAATTCGCAAAACCCAGATGGGGCCCACTTCGCACAACGGGGACAGTAACAGCCCCTCCTGAGCTTCAGGGGCTGCTAGAAAGTTGAACGGGGAAAACTCGGTGCTCCCCTGAGTGTCCCTCATCACGGCCAACTCCACCTACCACCTGGCCAATTATTTACTCAGCATTTTCAGAAATCAGGCACTTTTCCAATGTAAATATAGGGTGTCCGAAAAACATGTGTGCACTTTTTTATGTCATTGTCAATGGCCAGGGCTCCTGATGTCCTAGGGGGTCTCCTTTCAGTCGGCCCCTTTTCAAGGCTGAAGGTAAGGGGCCTCGTGGGGAAAGCTCGCTGCTGCTGAGTGTCCTGAGCTTGAATGCACTTGTGGTCTCATCACCAGCCCGGAGCATCGTTGGGTGGGCCTCCTACCTCTGCTCTTCCCTTACCTCCCCTCCTCTCATTCCCACCTGATTCGGCCTCCTCCCCTCCCTGTTTCCCTCCAATGTTGCCATAGGTGCTAGAAGGAGAAAGGTGAGCAAGACAAACCCCTGGCTTCACGGGGATCGTAGCTAAATGGAAAAGAAAGGCGACGGCAGAAACAGTGACGGTGCTGGTAAAATGATAGAAAGAGGTAGGCTGAGGCCTGTGGAAGTGAGAGCCTCTTACCTCTGCCTGCAGGATGGGGGGAAATGTCACAGAGGAGGTACCTTTGAGCAGAGAGCCCTGCAGGAAAAAACACAAACACAAAAAACAGGAATCCAGAAAGCAGAGGGCGATGGGGCCTCAGGGCACAGAGGCTCCAAGGGCACAGCAACCTTTGGGGAAGAGAAGACCGGCGTGGCTGAAGGATGCTTGTGAAGCTACATCAGGTTTTCAGAGTAGGAGGCAGATTTGGGTGACCCTGGGAAGCTATTACATTCTTTTAAAAATACATGTTCGGGAGAACCATGTATCTGGCTTGTCGCAGGAATTCGGAACCACACTTAGGAATCTGAAAGTATTTGCAGTAATAGAAACATCATCAGAAAGTGTCCCAACAATTATTAAGTGCCCACTGTTTTGAGCTCATGGCCAGTATATTAGTCTAAATGTTTCTGCTTATTGCAAACAAACATTTTTAGAGAAAAAGACGAATTTAAATTCCTCGTGGCAAATTTTTACCTGGATTCTACACATTGTGCTCTTCAAAATGCTTCCGAATTCAGGGCTTTGATGGCCAATAAGGACCCTCTTCTTTCTATTTAATTAGGGACAGGCAAGTCCCCATTGGGCCACTGGCCCTTGTTTCATAGTCAAACCTGTTCCATTTCCCTGGACNTTAGTTAGGGACAGGCAAGTCCCCACTGGGCCACTGGCCCTTGTTTCATAGTCAAACCTGTTCCATTTCCCTGGACTATAACTATAGAGACCAGAGTGTGACCCTCTCAAGGGCAGTGCCAGTTCTTCAAACGCTGGCCTCGCTTTACCACCTCCCACGGCTGGGGCTGCCTCTGCTGCTTACATCTCCTGGGTCCACCTGCTTCTGGAAGTATTTTCTGGGATGGCAGCAGCTGNGCACAGCTGGGGCTGCCTCTGCTGCTTACATCTCCTGGGTCCACCTGCGTCTGGAAGTATTTTCTGGGATGGCAGCAGCTGCCAGAGCAGAACCAGCACTGAGAAGAAGTCTAAGTACAGGAGGCGAAAGACTGGACACTGGGGGAGGAGACAGAAGCGTTGGCGGGTCCGGCAAAGGGCTAGCAGAACCACACGAAGGGGGGTTAGGAAGAGACAGGGCGTTACATGAACTAATTCCATCATCTCAAAAACTGAGCTTTCCAAGGGAAGCGGAAATCCTGGGAGGGCAACAACTTGGGAGCAGAGAAAATGCAGTGCTCGTATTACAAAGACCCCCCAGGAGAAGAAACACATCTGGGTAAAGCAGAGTAGGCACGGCCCCTCTCCCTGAGAGGATGCTGGTGACCGCTGTTTTTAAATCCCCTGCGACGTGGGCCTGCCATCCTGTCCTGAGCAGCAGAGGGAGGCGGGTGGTGTGGACACGGGAGGGGCTGACCCCGCGGCACGCCACGGCAGGCCTTCGTTTCCATTCCCCTCGAGCTCCGGGGGTGATCTGCACCTTGAATTCCCGGCTGCCTCTGGACAGTGAGGAAAATGATTGGCCTGACCTGGTCCTTCAATTTTTTTTCCCACTCATGCCTTGAGCTTTCATTAGTTTCTGTAGCTCATTAACACACAAATCCAAGAGTGAGAATTAAACACCTCCTGATTTATGATGCTACTAAAAATGGGCAGTTGAGATCATGGGCCTGGAACTGGACCAAGGGCCTAGCGACGAGATGGGTGAGCCCTGGTGGGCACCCTGCCAGCGCGGGGGCCACCCTCCGTCTTCACCCTGGGGACAATCGGGAAGGACCTGACAGCCAGAAACGCCCGGAGTCTCTACGTCTAGGACTCGACGTGGCACTTTCTCTGAGCCCAGACAATGGGCCCAAATCACATTGGGTTCCCCCTTCTCAAGCTCTGGGGTGGGATTTGCATTAAACCTCGCACCAGTTCTCAGTTATGCGTCTACCCCAGAGACGCTACTGCTCAGGGATAGAGGCCGTGTCCAACTCATTGTTAACTCCCTACTTGGGTTCACTCTTTCTAGCCTCCCAGCCTAGGGAAGCATCACTCAGGGGGCCAGAGCTCAGCATTGCAGGCGGAAGGGACAGGGTTTGAATGGCAGTTCTCCAAGTTAGTAGCTGTGTGGCTTTGCGCAACTCTACAACCTGAACCCTGCACAGGCCAGCCAGAGGGGGAGCCTCGGGAGTAAGCACGAAGACCAGCTTCACTGGGGCTCGCTGGGGAGATGGGTGGTCCTCAAAGAATCCTTTTTACTGTTCCTCTCACACCTCAACTCATCCTTAATCTTTGGGGTAGTTCCTCTCTCTGGTGATAGATCTATACTTTTTCCTTACGCCTGCTAGCAAGTTCACTCATTCATGTTAGGAAATGTCTGAAGACCTGTAAATCCAAAGACTTTGGGATTATGTCAATATAATGCCGAGGAAAGACCCATTAAGGAGCATGCCAGAGCAATGTTACTCCATCAAGAGGACTTTGCGGGTGACCTCAGACTGTCCAGTGACGCGTCTCCCATGATTTCAGTCCATCAGACTCTCATCCTGATAGTGTTGAACTGAACTCACTAACTTTAATTATCCTCATTTTAATTATTTAGGCGCATCTTCCCAAAACCTGGAGAGACTTATAGGAAGGTAAGTGGAAGGGGGCTATAAGAAGTTGTTTTTAAATCACACTTCTCGTTTTGAAAAATGAATGAAAACTTTGTTGTTACCCCGCCCTCACTAGCACCGGGCATCAGTGAGTCATTCTGCAAACACTGGGAGATTATTATCTCTTCTTGGGCCAGGGAGCGTTGGAAGTGTTCATTTGCATATGTCCTTAAAAGAGAATCATAAAAATACATACAGAGTGGGTGAAACTTAGATCTGGCCAAAAAGACAAAAAGGATTTCATGTTCCTGTTTAAGAGTGACAAAACACTTGTGTGCTCATTTGGGGCTTAAAATTGAGAAGCAAGGCCCTGGGTGCCCAGCATGGGAACCTTGGGAAACCCTTAATTTTCCAAAGTTGGCTGCAGGCCCACAGGTCGTCTTATGAATCTGGACACAAGTAGCCCAGGTAACTGACTTGTGTCTATTGACCACAAGGGCTGCGTAGATGCTGAGAAGATGGTAGGGTGTCCCAGTGCGGGAGACTTCTCACACTCCTCAATCCCGTGCACTTACATGGTCTTTCCCTAATAGGAAGTAGATTAAAGAGCATAGAGAAGGGAGGGGAGAAAGGGGGAAACGGGAAGGGTGCTACTAGAATGAAAGGAGAAGAGCAAGAAGTTACCCAGAGGGTGGTCATGCAAAGATCTTTCATGGGCCCAGCCTGTGACTTTGGTTACAGAGCTGGGTTTCCAAGTCTGTGACGCTCAGCTTCCATCTGTGGCTTCTCAGTCTGTCTAGGAACCCACTGTTGGACCATCCAGCCATTGTCATATACGCCATGATCGGAAATGATGTCTGCAACGGGTGAGTTATTAAGAAAGAAGCCTTTGAAAATCCTTGGGCTCTGGGTTTCCCCTTTTCTCCACTCCACACCACTCCATTACAGCAACCTGCTGCTGAGTTAAATTTCTCTGTCTTTACAAGCCCTAGACACATGTGGAATCAACAGAACCAACCTGTAAAGGAGAAAGACCCTTTTACAAACATCTGATCCATTCATTCTTTGCTCTGATTCACAACAAGTGGGTGTGTCATGATCAGTTCTGATTTGTATCACAAGAAATATGCTTCTGCCTGGCCAGCATGGCTCAGTGATTGAGCGTCGACCCATGCATGAGCCAGGATGTCAGGGTTTGACTCCCAGTCAGGGCACATGCCCGGGCGGTGGGCTCGATGCCCAGTCGGGAGCAGGAGGCGGCCGATCAATGACCCGCTCTGTCATCATTGATGTTTCTATCTCTCTCTCTCCCTCTCCCTTCCTCTCTCTGAAATCCATAAAAACACATTTTATTAGAAAAGAAATTTGCTTCTACTAGCCAAGAATCCAAGACTGAGAATCATGACTTTCTCAATAAAATAAGGCAGAATCACAGCTACCCCATAAGACCAGCCTCCCCGCTCACATCCTCAGGCACCGACTCATGGGGTAGAGACGCCACAGTCTTAGAGAGTTTGCAGAGAAACTACACATGCTTCACGGCCAATCCTATTTTTGCCCATGGCCCATAAAACAAAGTAGTTTCGCTGCCCTGCTAATATCCACAGTGATTTCAAAATGTTGAGTGCCTTCATTCCCCCACAACATTTTGGAAGATTTCTCAAAATCTGTGTGTACCCCTAAGAATACCCTGCATATGGGCATGCCATCTGTCCCGTGATCATGGCCAAAAAGAAAAGGTGACATCAGATCCTGAACAGCTCCCAGCAGCCACCCACCCTCCGTTTTAGAAAACAGAAAAGGAAAGCACAGGGGGTTACGTGACTTGCCCAATTAATTGACTAAGGACAGAGCTGGACTCCACCCCGAGCAGTGCTAAAACAGGGATTCCTGCTCGCTGCCTCGCCTTTGCTTTCCCACACACCACGGTTCAATGTCATTAAAGTGTTTGCACTCACGGACACCTCCATGAGAGCCTAGGCCTGATCAGTGAAGTGAGTTCAGGGCAGGAGGTGCCACACTGTGATCCAGAATGCTCATGTGCCAGCCCCTGCCTTGGCACCCTCTAAGCTGGTTTACTGATCTCCCCAGGCCCCCAAGTCTGCCAAGGGTACACACTGGGGACCCAAGTCCCAACCTCTTCACAGACTACCTGGGACACTCCACTAAATAGCAAACAGCTATGAGCCCAGAGCCATGCCACTCACTATATCATCTCACCCCACAGCAGCCCTAGGAGGCAAGTATGACTGTCCCCATTTCACAGAGAAGGAGACCGAGGTTCTGCAAGATTAAAAAACTTGCTTATCCGTCCATAGAGCATTGAGCGGCCAAGCTGAGAGCCAAACCAGGTTCTCTGATGAAGTCCTGTGCTCCTTCCCACAGTCCACACCGGCCTTGTTTACTTTCCTTCATCCATTCATTTTTTAAACTGTAAATTGAGCACCTGTGATGTGCCAGTCTCTGGGGTCCAATGGCAAAGAGGCCACAGTTCATGACCTCGAGCTTCTTATGGAAGGAGAAGCGTTGAGCTTCAGCGCCCAGCCCCATCACAAAACAGAACAAACCGATGGTCAGATCAGCCGGCACCCTCCAGCCTCGGCATCAGGTTCCCCCGGAGGGTCAGAGAGCAGACTAGTTACACGGCGTGAAAGGCACCTGCAGAAAGAGGCACTGACTCCAAGAGCCCAGGCCCCTGAAACTGCCTTTTCCCAGCAGAACCTGCCGACCCAGAGGTCCTTCCAGCCAGACCTGCTTTTCCTTTGCCAACAGCCGAGGGGCAGGCAGCCGTCAGCTAGGACCGGTGCCAGCCTCCCCCTGCCGGGATCTGGGCAGAGAAGCAGCAAGCATTTGGGAGAAAGAACGGAGCTGGCAGTGTGGGATGTCCCCGCGGTGCCCACTTTGCAACGCCCTGTGGAGGGGTTAAAAAAATAAAGACAGATGGCAACTACACCTCCCCATCTGCCAGAACGTCAAGGTGGAGCAGATAACCCGAAATGAGCAGAGTGATTGCATAAAAAGCTCACGCCAGCAACGGGTTGCATAAGAAGTCCTCCTGAGCAAGTCTGGGGATACTTGCTTGACTTCTGTCTTTCCTCCTTTGGCAACGATGGCCTGCTCTTACCCACATAACGCAACGATGTGCTTCCTTCTCAGCCCCGAACTTGTGCAGTTGCTCAACAGACACTGTTACTGAAATAAAGGTCATGGTTGGAAGATAGCCGTCAGTGTCCGGAATTCAAGAAAAAAGGCAACACAGATGAACCTACGGTCTCATTGTAACTCCACTCAGTTTGGCCTAAGCTTACCCAGCTTCCTCGGGCTTTTCCGATCACTGCCCACAAAGCTATAGAATGTGCTGGGAACAGGGCAAATGCAAGTGAGCTACAGCAGCAGACCCTGGACTAGCAGGGCCCGCACTGGGAAATGGGAGTGGCCTTCAGGCCCTCGATTCATAAGGCACGATGACAGGGATTCCCCAGTGTCCCAACTCGCAGCCCTGAAAAGAACATGGTAACTGCTAGAAATGTGGCCAACACTGGCCACATCAATTGACAGGGTCCCGTTTTTTTATAGTGGACCTAGAAATTATAAATTGTGCACCTTTTACTTAATAGAGCCAGGACCACCCCACACAGGTTGCGTGCCCGGCCCCCAAGCATTTTTTTTCTGCGATGACAGTGCTTCAGGAGACGCCCTGGGCAGCTGGCCGATGGACGCTGAGGGGAGAGGAAATCAGGCCAGGTGCTGACCCCAGAGCCTGGGCTGCCCAGAAAGAATCCATTCTGCCCAATGGTAGAAACCAGCAGCAAAGGGGATGGACTGTGCTCAGAGGAGTTCCCTCCCCCCCTCCCTCCCTCGCCTCCTCCATCAAGGCATAGTGGCCCTGGTAAGGACAAGAAGTCTGCCAATGGCAGGCATGTTCAGGCCACGTCCACTTTCAGGGGCCCCAGGGTCTTTATGCCTGGGGTAATGTGGGCGCAGAGGCCCCCCCATTCCCAGTCTGAGTCAAGATGCCTCTTTGAGGGGCCTGTGTGTGTCTGTGTGTCCTCTCCTCCACTTATAAGGACACTATTTGCTGGGTTTAGGGCCCACCCTAATTCCCTATGACCTCATCTTAACTAATGACATCTGCAAAGACCCTGTTTCCAAATAGGGTCACATTCTGAAGGATTCTGTTCAACCCATTATAGAATCGTGCAGTAAATTTGGAATTTTAAGGACTCAGAAGAGAAGACAATGTTTAGCATTATTCCATTCAGGTTAACGTCGAGCAATCTAGAGCCTAAAGAGTAATGAAAACCTTAGAGAATTCATGTTCCCAGGTTAATGCAGGTTAGAATCTTAACTCGAACTGGAGGAGTTCCTGTGTCTGCAAAAGTCAACTGTGCAAAAATATAAACAATAATAGATTCACATATTAAAGCCAGAAAGTATTCTAGCCATCCTATTTACACTTGCCTTTTAAACATAACTCAAAAGAAAGAAATTTTAATGTAACTTTCAATGATGTATTTCTAGAATATATTCACACATTCCTTATTTTTGTTTCTTCCCCAAACCAAATGAAAATAAGTCAACCAGCTTAAATTTTAAAAATGTCTGATTGAAGCTAAAATGTTGTTACTCTCAGTTCACTTGTGATTTCCATCTTTGTCTTAAATTCTTTGATTTTAGGCCTATGCTCTTATAACCACTTTCAAAACTTTTTTTTCTGTTTTCACTAACTGTTATGAAGCAAAAAGAAAAAATATAATTTAAAATTTAAAATATTCTCTATAGAGCACAAGCACAGCTATGAAGAGAAAGGCAGTGATGCAAAATGGAATTGCCATCGGCAGACAGCGTCGCAGGGGGATAGCCTGAAATAGCGGTCTATCAGGAAAGTCAGGAAAGTTCAAATTCAGGGTAGAATGGAAGGAAATGTGAACACATAATGTAACTTCATTCCTCAGTGACATTCTGTTTCCCTAACTGCAATATAGGTAGGAAGTTTTAGAGACCAAGTTGTAGACCTTGAAGTATCAAACAAATAATCATCATCACTACCAGACTCCTTTGATTCCATGAACCATGTGTATCAGTTAGGATATTGAGGTTATGCTGCAGAAACAAACATCCCCTAAAATCTTAGGAGCATAAAGCAACTAACATCTCACTCACACCACATGACCATCAAGAATCATGTGGCTCTGTTCCAGGACTCAGATTGGTGAAGTCACTGCTGTCTAGAACATTGCCCAGACCCATGGCAAAGAAAAAGAGCTTTCTAAAGGCTCCCAGACCAGTTATATGGCCAACCCGATCACATGGAAGCCAGAAATATTCTGCAAATAGCACCAATAGCCACCATGTGGGAATGGGGAAGGGGACCTCAGGGGCCAGGTATTTTGAATTGGCACACATCTATCCTTGTAATCCAGTAAGGCATTTTCTGTTTCTTTTACTTACAGGAAGACTGACACAGTCCGAGCAATGACCACTCCTGAGCAGTTCTACTCCAAGGTCATGGAGACTCTGAAGTATCTGAATTCCCACCTGCCGAATGGCAGCCACGTTATTTTATATGGCTTACCAGATGGGACCTTTCTCTGGGACAATCTGCACAACAGATACCATCCTCTCGGTATTGTTTCGACAATACTTTAACTCTTTAACAATGTCAATGTATATAGAGTTCAAATATATATAGTTCATATCATGTAGGAATACACCTAAAATGCCATCACAGTGCAGGAGTCAGAAATGATGAAGGGAAGCATCCCCAGGGGCAGGGTCTAAAGGTCAGTATCCAAAGGTGGGCAGAACCAGCGCCAAAGCCAGAAGGGCAGAAGTAGTTAATGAAGAATTAAGACAAATTGAAAGGTAAGAGTTTCAGTCAGGAAACTCCTTTAACTGAAGGTGAAATCCAGAATGAGCTGATAAAGCCCAAACAAGAGACATTAAAGCCTTGAGTCCAAGGAAGGATTTCTCCAAATCGCAATGGTGAGTGCCCCCTAGTGGCCAGATCGAATTCTGTAGACCACTGTCCTCCAGAGGACTGGTTCCCTGCTTGGACCCTCTCGTGGAGTCCTTGGCTCTACAATGCTTTAGAGATCCCGAGAAGTTTCTGATAGCGTCTCTAGCATTCCGGATGTGGTACATTATAAAAGTAGCAGTAATTCGCATTAGGTAGGGCTGCCGTGCTGATCTTTAAAACACTCCTGTGAGAGCGATGTTTTCATTCATTCCATTTAATGGAAAAAGGGAGGCTCAGAGGGGTTAGGGGGCTTGCCAAGTGTTGCATAGCTCATTGCCCTGTAAGCTGGGTGCCACACAGCTCTTCCTTCCGTGTTTTGGAAGACAATGCCTTTTCAAAACAATATTTCTTAAGTGCTTGCCATGTGCCAGGCACTGTTCTAGGCACTGTGTGCCCAGCAGTGAACATATGGTCAAAAATCCCAGCAACATAAGGCATATCCCAGTGGGGGAAAGACTCCAAAAGCATGTCAGAGGGTGACAAGTGTTATGGGAGAAAATTCAGTTCAGCCTCTGTCCCCTTGGGCACATGGAGGATCCAGGGTGCAGGTGGAGGCTGACTGTGTCAGTCACGGCAGCTGGGCTGGGCTGAGACGAGCAGGGACATGTACAGAAAGGAGAGAAGTTACAGAAACACACGCAGACCCAAAGAAACAGAGCAGAAGCCGCCTCGGCGGTGGAACGTGGGATCTTGGAGAAAGGTGGAGCTCGGGGCTCCATGTGGGTACCAGGAAATAAAAGCAAAGCCAGCGGTTTGAGGTTCATCTAAAATGTGAAGATGGGACGCCTCTGGGAGCCGAGGAGGCCTGGCGTGTCCCTGCAACTGCAGCAGGGACAACAAGCCTCCGTTTCCCAGGCTCGGGCACACAGAGATAATATATTTCTCCTCTGTGACAAGAAAATTGAATCTTTCAGCCTAACTGAGCTGGGGCGTAAGGAAAACATAAGCTGTTCTATCGGCTTCAGTCCTTCCCTTGGCTCTGAGACGGGGCCTCCTGTTCCCCTCTTTTTCCGAGCGGGACAGCCTGGGTTCTGTGTCTCAGCCACAGCGTGAAGGTGGAATCGCCTGGGGCTGGGGGTGCTGTAAGCAGGGAAGGGAGGGGAGACATGTGAGAAGACAAGAGGTGACCCCCAGAGATTCAGCATCTGCAATTGATGTTTCCAAAGGCTTGGGATGAACCCCACACGGCACCTGTCACCTTTATTCTTAGCCACCTCTCTAACGTGCACCAAAAAATAAGTGTGGGGCATATCTACTCTTAGGGCTCAGATAAGATCCCCTGGGCCGGGCAGGGATGTGGTGCGCTGGCCTCCTGCTTCCAGGGGCCGCCCAAGCACCTTGGGAGGCCTGCAGCTCATCAAACTGCAGGGCAGAGCCTGGTCAGCTGCTCAGACCCTCACCATGGATAACTGGGTCAGACCTGGGTGTTTCAGCAACCTGGACAGGAGGGTTTGTCAACTGCCACCCTGAATGCTCCCGGTGCCCCCTGGGAACCTGGCACTCCATACCATGGCCAGGAGAAAGCCGCTGCTCGGCAAGTCCGTTGTCAGTGGTGCTCTGGTCCGCATGGTGCCCTTGCATCCCTCCACCTGGGTCCAGGTGAGGTCAGGCCCCACAGGCTCCCCGCCCCTGGCCCACACCAACAGCTCAGGACGGAAGGAAGCTCCGTAAGGCCCCTCCCCACCCCGGCTCTGAGTTTCTAGGGGGCTCAGAGAGAAAGGGAGCACGGGCATCCTTCATGACCATGCCAGCTGCACAATCAAGGCAGGTCCCTGAAGGTGCCAGCCTTCTGCACGGGAGGCTGCCACCTTCGGGCCCATACGACATCCAGCGCTCGCTGTCTTCCAGGCCAGCTGAACAAGGACGTGACCTACGAGCGGTTCTACTCCTTCCTCAGCTGTCTTCAGGTGAGCCGGCACTGACTTGTCCCGAGGCCACAGTCCCCTCATCGCCCGATGTCCCTCTCTAATCATGGGGTGTCTTCCTGCCCTCAGATCAGCCCCTGCCACGGCTGGATGTCTGCCAACCAGACCCTCCGGACCCTCACTTCACAGGTAGGACTGTCGCAGGCCCTTTGATGGCATTTTGGGTCGTTCCTTCCCTGTGTTTGCTGCGGTGTTGTCACAGGGGATGGGATTTTGACAGGGTGCCGGCCTCCAGCCTGGTGAACAGAAACATCGGACTTCCAGGGGGCGGGAGGAGGCAGGGAATGTGGGGTGCCCTGTCTCTCTCCTCTTGCCTCCTCTGGGTCTGTCACTCTCCCCGTGTCTGTCAGTCACTGTATAGTGTGTGTGTCTCTCTCGCATGCACACGTGTGTACACACACACACACACACACACACACACACACACCCCTTTGAAAGCCGGTCCTAGGCATATGCGTAGAGGCGGAGAGAAGGGAGCGAGTTAGGCCCTACGTCTGAGTTCTCCCGAGTGTCAGGAGGACCAGGGGCCCAGAGCTTTCCTCTCTTCTTGACAGGAACCTGCGCTTCACGCAGTTTTTCCACAGGTAATGAATCATCTCTTTGTAAAGACTTACTGAGTTCTTTTTATAAATATACGTCCATTTTTAAAAACCTCAGAGGATATTTTTTAAAAAGCACAGAGAACAATAACAAAAATCACCCCAAATCCCACCACCCAAAGTTAATATGTGTGCCTGTCTTTCCAGTATTACTTTCATAGATATTTTGGGGGTTTTGCCTACATAGTGTCAGAATACACATGTTGTTTTATGCCTTCTGACGTCCATCGATTATTCCTCCACAGCCTGATTTTGTAATCATTTCAGAGTACACAACATAGGAACGTACCACGATTTATTTCACCCCTTAGAGCTGGACATGTAGGTCATACAGGTTTCCAGTCTGCCACTGTGACACATAGCACCGTGATGGGCCTGCGTGTGTGTGTGTACCATGTCTATTTCTTAGGACAAATTTCTAGAACAATCACTGGGTCCAAGGGCATGCCGTGTTCAAGGATTTGATCCGTCTTGCTGACCTGCTCTCTAGAAAGGTTAAACAAGTTGACATTCTGGATCACCCATCCCCTGGCACTGTTCTACTCTATCACAACTGTTCATCTTTTCTTTCCCAGTCCCGCAGGGGAACGTGGTATCTTATTACTTTAATTTGCCCTGATTTGGTTCCTAATGAAGTTTAACAGTTTGTATGCTCGTTGGCCATTTGTGCATAAATAGAATTTAGTGCGCTGAGCTGCTCTGTGCTTGTGGGGGGGGGGGCACTACCCATTTCTTTGTTCTGCCTGAATCCACTCACTAGAGTCAAGGTCTGGATTTCACAGAATTCCCTGTTTCCTTTGTATCCAGAGAGCAGAACAACTCTCCAACACACTGAAAAAGATCGCCACCACCCAGAAATTTACGAACTTCGATCTTTTCTACGTGGATTTTGACTTCCAAGAAAGTAAGTGTCGCTCGGCTTTGGTGATGACATAAGACAAAAGCAGCAGCTGTCTCTGAGAGCCTGCCCCAGCCGGGTATAAACCAGCAGGCAGCAGACTGGACAGGGTCTCTCCTGACCATCCTTACACACTAGTAGCTCTAGTAGTACTGAAATCAGATAAAGTGTGACCTTCTTCCTGGGGAGGTGAAAGCTCAGCATCGTCCCTATTTCCCCATCATTTGAGAAACCCGCATGCAATAGAGCCAGTGACCAGTTTGGAAGAAGCTTCAGTGGGAGGGAGCCAACAGGTGAGTGGAGTCGCCTTTGTTCTTGCCAGTATAGCGCCATCCTGCTTACCAATGGGCTAAAGACGAGGGTGACAGGGTGAGGGCTGAGGCAGTGCCTCTCACAGTGGGCACTGAATTACCTAGGGACTCGGGGACAATGCAGACTCCCAGGCCCTGCGCATAGAGAAACTGATCAGCATCTCTGTGGGAGGGACCTCAGGTTTGCCCACGGCGGAGTGGACAGCCCGTGTCCCAGCTTCCCAGATACAACACCAGCATCTCCCTGTTGACCTTCTGTCCAAACACAGGGGTCACCGCGGCGTGGCCACAGAAACAGGCGTGGTTACCGGTGCTAGGATTTCTCCTTTACATCTTGACTCTGAGAAACTATTTGTATTGGCCTTAACCCTTCCAGTCTCATGTTCATTGCCAAGCAGTTGTTGTACAAGAGAAAGGCCTCCTGTGGATGGACTGCCCTCTGCGACGATGCGAATGAAAAGCTTTGCCGTGTATCAAAGGATGGACCATTTCTCCCCCAGAGGTTATCGTCTCCGCCTCCCCCTCACCAACCCTGCCCCCAGCCCAGGCAGCCGGGGGAGCGATGGCCACCAGGAACTATCAGGTTAATTAGCTGGAGTGGTCTGCACTGCAAAGGCCAGTGCTTCAACTCCGAACATCATTTCAACAAGACGGATCGCCCTTAACTAGATTTCCTGCCTGGGTGATGCATATTTCTCTCATGGGGAGAGACATTTTGATAAATAACCTCACATTAAGATGCAGAGCTAAAGACGCATTAATGAATTCCTGCTGTAAACAAATATACCGCCAAGTGATCTGTGATCACCAACCTCGAACATGGATAAAGTTATTGAAAATATAATGTCGTCTAACGTGCGCAGGGACTTCATTTTCCAGGCGGCCCCCGGCTCTGCGCTTTATTATCTTTGAGATTACAGGCAATTCCCTGAACACTCTGAACACTCCCACCCACACCCGAACACGGGGCCCGTATCTACGTAACACACCCCTGCGATGGTTTCATGAGAGGATGTGGACCTTCCTACACGCCCTGCCTGGGACGCCGCTGCGAGCTTCAGGCCTCGAGACAAACGAGGGGAAATGTTCCTTCCCTTTCACTGTCAGCTCACGCCGGAGGGCCACGCTGAGTTCCTCAGAGCAGCCGAGGTAGGAACACATCTCATGACCCCTGCGGTCCCCTTTTATGAGAAATCAAGGCCCTGTGGAGTCACTCGTCAAACCTGCGGTCTTCGTAGCCACACGGAACCCTCTCCTTTCTGAACTGTATTTGAACTCGCTGTGGCATCATCGAGAGCCTCATTTTCAAGGTGAAATTTACCATTTCACACACCTCTGATTGCAACTGAGGGTCCCGTCCCCTGAGGGTGGGCACAAGAGTGACCAGTTCTCTGCTCTGACACCTGAGTCCAGCCCTGAACGATGACCGCTCGTCTCCAAGGGCTCCTTTTGTCTCTTGCTGACTCACCCTCAGCTGGTCGTGAGTTACACAGAAGAAGTGGTTTCCCCCTTCAGGAAAGGGCAGCCGAGCGGGTAAAGTCCTTCATCTTCGTCTGTGCCACGTCTCTCAAACACAGAAAGGAAAATGCCACCGGACTGACAAGGCCACTTTACACTGACCGTTGAAAACACCACCCGCTGCCCTCCGCTGCCATGGCAACCCCTTAGGAGAAAGCCTGGTTCTGAGGTCCTGCCATGTACCTGTTTGTAAGAACAACCAGTGACTTCAGGACGCCCACCAGGATGCGGATTTCTCTTTTTAAACACCTGAGAGTGTTGCTGATCATTAAGGGGCCACACGTGTTCTATGACTCTCCTGCAGGGGTTTCTGTTGGCTCTCTGAAAAGCTGGTCATTAGCAGAGTTTCTCTGACTTCACAGGTAAAGAGCATACATCATGCCTGGCTGGGGAGGCTCGGGGTTGAGCATCGCCTCATGCGCCCAGAGGTTATCAGTTCAATTCCCAGTCAGGACACATGCCGGGGTTGCGGGCTCGATCCCCAGTAGGAGGCGCGCAGGAGGCAGCCCATCAATGTTTCTCTCTCATCTATGTTTCTTTCTCTCTCTCCCTCTCCCTTCCTCTCTCTGAAATCAATAAAAACATTTTTTTTTAAATACACAAACATATTATGCACCAAATCCCAAGAGATCGTTCATGACCATTCATGAACCTTAATCCAGGCCTTCTGAAGAAGAGTTAGGAATGTGTTTACCTACTTTGAATTATGGTCCCAGATAGGAAGGAAAATGACCAGCTTACCTTGCTCCCCCTGCTTGGACCTCCCACTCTAAACTCAACCAGGGAAGAAACAGGGACCACTGTCTGGTATTATGTTTATTCTGAGAAGGCAAAATCTCACCCTGAGATACACAAACTAAAAAGCATCACTCTGGCCCTGTCCGGTGTGGCTCAGGGGTTGGAGCGTTGGCCCGTGCAACAAAGGGTCATGGGTTCAATCCCCGGTCAAGGGCATGTACCTGAGTGGCAGGTTCATCCCTGGCCACCCCAGTTAGGGCACATGTGGGAGGCAACCAATTGATGTGTCTCACATCGATGTTTCTCTTTCTCTCTCCCCCTACCTTCCTCCTTTCCACTCTCTCTAAAAAGAAAAATTAATAATCAATTTCTTAATTAAATAAATTAAAAAGGTCACTCTGTCTAGCTCTAGTCCCATATTGGTGAAACCTTAAACTCTTGCCTATGAGCTACTGACTCTTCCTCTCAGTGTTAATGCTGATGTCTGCAAATGTGTGATGACTGGCAACCTTGGCCAACACAATATCATGTGAGAAAATGATGTTTTCCGCTGTGAACAGACTGCCTGTAGCCTTGGTAACCTGTGGCATTTCTTTTAATGCCTATCCAATTATTCCATATAAGCCAGTTCTTCTAAAGGCTGGATTCCCTGGTATTTTCCTACTAATGGGGGAGCAGAGAGGACTATGTTGTCACTGACATCATTAGAATTGCTGGAGTAGGGTCAAAATAAAATGTGGGCCCCTCCCACCGCCCCCCACCATAGGGTGTGCCCCTGCTTCCTTGCAAAACTTGGCAAGTAAATACCCTTCTCTTTTCCTCATGTTTTTGTTCCAGTTTTCTTTTCAGAATCCCCACCTTGGGGATGCTCAGTTGCTCCAAGGGGAGCACCAATGACCATCCCTTCTCATTTTGGAAAACAGTCACTAATTCTGATGACCGAACAATGTTCATTTGTCCCATCAAGTACAATATCGATCACCACCTCCCCTTCTCTCTAAGGGCCAGGATTTTTGGTGTAGTCCTCAGTAACGCACATAAAATTCAAATCAAAATGGAAATAGCCTGGACTAACTTTAAGCCCAGGTGCCAAAATCAAACAGCACTAGAGGAAACTCGGGTATAAGCAAGTCTGACCTTTTTAATATCGGGCTCCTAGTAAACATTTCCCTCCAGGACCACGATCTTGGCTTCAACTATGTGTCCTTAATCAGCTTGAGTTTACTTTCTACTGTGGATTTTCCAGATCTCCCAATCACTGTCATTCTTTCCGGGACTTTCTCTTAGCCAGTAAAGGCACAAGTTCGGGTTCAAGTTGTCATTCAACCTTCTCTGCAAACATGGAGAATCAAAGAGCGTAGTAGGAGGCCTCCTACCCCCAGAGGGTCCGAGGCTGTGTGGGTGGCCTGGCTCAGGCCATCTCTCTAATACCATCTTCACGTCTCATTCCTACAACTCGGCAGCTTTCCAGCGGGCTCTGTCTGAGGACTTGACTTCGCTCAGTTCCCATTGTCTCTTTAGTCTGGGGGTTTCTTAACATCCAATCAGGATTTTCTTCCAGTCCTTCTTTCCTTTCTCTTTTTAACATTTGTATGGGAGAAGCTAGAGAAGGGACAAAAGGAAGCGAGGCCACCTGCGCAGTCACGGGGAGGCTGGTGTCTTACGGGGCAGGAGGGGCAGCTCCGGTGACCGCCTGGCACAGCCCTTGCTCTAACGCTCTGGCCCTGTGTGTCCCCCGCAGTCGTGAAGAAGTGGCAGGAGAGAGGCGGGCAGCCCTGGCAGCTCATCGAGCCCGTCGATGGATTCCACCCCAACGAGGTGAGCGGTCACACGACGGTCCCTGAAAACTCCCTGTTGGGTTGTTGAATATAGTGATGCGCTCCAGAAGCAACCTGAGGTAATGTGCGCACATGGGTGAGAGAGAGGAGTCAACGAAAATAAAGTGAAANCGAAAACTCCCTGTTGGGTTATTGTTTAATATAGTGATGCGCTCCAGAAGCAACCTGAGGTAATGTGCGCACATGGGTGAGAGAGAGGAGTCAACGAAAATAAAGTGAAAATCAGAGTAAGAGGGAAACGTGGTAGAAATGACACCTGGCTTCTGGACTTCCCGTCTACAGGTCTGTTTCATGTCACGTGCAGGCAAGTGCACATGCCGGTAAGCGCCTGCAACATCCGCGCTGTGCTTCCCAGCGGCCAGTGCAAAGAGGGGCATAGCCGTGGTCTCCATAACATAAAATACGCCGAGTACACACACACGAATCGACACCTGTGAGAAGTCTCTTCCTTGGATCCTTCTAGAAGGGATGCTGTGAGGGACGAGCCAAGGGAGCCAGACGGCAGGACTCTGTCCCTTCTGCCCCCACCCTGTCCATTGTCCTGACTTCAGCCTGGGGGGCCCCACTTTTACCTGTCACACATACTGGACTGACTCATAATGTTTCTTTATTTAAAAATTATAATAAAAGAAGTAGTAGGGAAGTCATTCAGCCATTTTCAAAATTCTGAAAGCTGGGAATCCTCCACAATTCTAGTCTTTCTGACTCGGCCTTTGGTGAGGTTGATGTGGCAGGACCAAGGTCCAACCTGAAAAGCGCTTTCGGTGTGCTCTCCTGGTGGCCGTGGCCTTGGCCTTGATGGTCAGCCAGGCCACGGAGAGGGCTGACCACCCCCTCAGGAGTCTGAATGGCGTGTAACCCACCCTCCCCACGCTCTGGTAAGAACCCAGGGGCAGGGCTAATAGAAAATGGAGAGGGCCGCTCCATCGACAGGTGAATGAACAGCGGCACCCACAGGTGCTGGGCAGATTTTACAGTGAGTATTAAATGCCCATCTCACAAATAATCAAAAATAAATACAACTAAAGCATCTTAGAATATCTAACTTTCCTGTGGATCTTGTAGATGAGTTGATCCAAGAGAATTTTGGGCTAGAAGCTAGTTAAATATTATAGAGTCTGCCCCCTTCCAAAAAAAAAAAATGGAAATGATGTCTTTGGTTCTCAAATAGTTAGCATGGAGACCTTCCTTCTGGCAATAATTAGGCGGCAGATCTTATCATTCTTTGCGCCTAATAGAATCGTACCCTTCTGATTTGATAGAGAAACGGGATATGAAGAGGTGATCAGAGAGGGAGTTAATTAAGAACAAGAACAAACAGAAGAGGGTCGCAGACAGCTTTGTTTCCTCCCTTGGGACATATGTGTCTGATCCATCAAAAAACCATGCTGTCCCTTGAACACTGGGGCTCACAGCCTGTCGGACGGGAGCTGTATCCTGCACTCAGACGGCTTCGCCTGCAACTGCTCGTGGAGAGCAGCGTCCGACGCTGACAGGCGGTGTGTGCCATCACCCGCTTACCCCCGGGGGTCTGTTCCCAGGCGGGCGTGGGTGAGGGAGTGGGCACCCTTGGGCAGCCACAGCTAGAGCGGGCGGCAACGGCCGGCAGTGCCTGAAGCCTGATCATCTCATCCATTCAGCTCAACAGCCCAGATTGCCACTTGTCATGGAAGAACGCTTAACGAGAGAATCCAAGTGTGAACAGGCCGCCGGCCCGCCGCGTAGGGACATCGTGGTGTAGGTGACAGAATGACAAGTAAAAGATAACAAAATGCAGAGCGGCGAACGCCTCCCACTGTGCAAGCGCAGATGCTACGGGCCTCGTGGGGCATGGGGTGGGGGTGTCAGGAAGACCACGACCCAGGAAGCGGAGGAAAGAGGGGAGGGGTTACCAACAGTTTTCCCACGGCAACGACCTGCGTATGAAAAAGGCGCGGTGCCCAGCCTGTGTGGCTCAGTGGTTGAGTGTCGCCCCCAGGCACCAGGAGGAGGTCACGGTTCGATTCCCGGTCAGGGCACATGCCCGGGCTGCGGGCTCGATCCCCAGCCGGGGGCGTGCAGGGGGCGGCCGATCAGTGACTCTCTCTCATCACTGACGTTTCTCTCTCCCTCTCCCTCTCCCTTCCTCTCTCTCTAAAAATCAATGAAATATTTTTTAAAAAAAAAAAAAA